ACCCTAAACCCTAAACCCCAAACCCCTAAACCCTAAACCCCAAACCCCAAACCCTAAACCCTAAACTCTTTTTCTGACTTGCCTCGGCACTATCTACATGCGTGCTTCCAGAAGCTAGCTTGCTACGGCGAGGGGCCAGGAAACCCCTGGCCGAGGGCCGTGACAAACCTTTCTGAAGGCCCGAAAACTCCAAAACCAAAACGTCTGAGGTTGGGATACCCCCCTTATACTAAGAGTCCTTAGTTTATCGGGATAAAAATCGGGGGTACTATAATCCCCATTAAGGACTGCTAGTCTAGGGGGGAACATCTCAAGTTCGAGGTTTCAAGAATCCTAGGTGTACCAGGATGGGCTACTAGGGCCTATGACCCCCATAAACAGCCCTATCACCACACTTTAGGGTCGAATCGCCCATCCTAGTAGAGAACGTTTGGGTTCAGGGTGCGCCCATGATAGCCACCCCGCTGATCCCCTAAACCCTAAGCCCAGGCTAGATTGGCGCAAGAATTCGAAGAACTTTCTCATCGTCACTGGCTGGGGTAGCAACTCGAAGTTCCAATAGTACCGCTCTGCTTAGGGTTTAGGGTTTCAGGGTTTCAGGGTTTCAGGGTTTCAGGGTTTAGGGTTTAGGGTTTAGGGTTCAGGGTTTCAGGGTTTAGGGTTTAGGGTTTAGGGTTTAGGGTTTAGGGTTTAGGGTTTAGGGTTTGGGGCTTACTTTCAGGCGACGGCGGCTCCGGGAGGCCGCGCCTTTTTGTCGTTGGGGTAATAGTCGCGTTCTGTAGGTGCGTCCGGTTGCTTCAGGCACCCTAAACCCTAAACCCTAAACCCTAAACCCTAAACCCCAAACCCGTGTCTCAAAACTCCACATGCCGAGCCAGAAACAACTCGAGGGCCTAAATATCGGGGTAGTTCTCAGGGTTTAGGGTTTAGGGTTTAGGGTAGGGTTTCGGGTCCAACGTTGGCACTAGATGTGGTGACGAATGCTGCAAAACGCACCGCGCCTTGCAGGCGCTAATGCCTTGTCTAGGCGCTTAGGGTTCACAGTGCCTTGGGCTCGCTAGTGCTCCATGCCCTTTTTGACAGTTCGGTTTTGGGGGGTTTGGTTCTCTTGTTTCATGAACCCCATGAAGCAAAGGAGGGCACCCTGTTGATGATTCGGTTACTCTAAACCCTAAACCCTAAACCCGAAACCCTAAACCCGAAACCCTAAACCCTAAAGCCTAAACTAAACCCTAAACCCATAACCCATAACCCATAACCCATAAACCATAAACCATAAACCCTAAACCCCAATCCCTTGGGGCAGCCTAGGACTGCAGTCCAAGTGGAGGACGGCGGATGTCTGCACGGCGGTGGTCAACTTGCGGCTTGTCTCAGCTTCTTTCTCAGGGCTCTTAGGGTTGGGGTTAGGGTTGAGGGTGGAGGGTTTAGTAAACGGTTTAGGGTTTAGGGTTTAGGGTTTAGGGTTTAGGGTTTAGGGTTTAGGGCTTAGGGTTTAGGGTTTAGGGCTACCCCCACCACCTGGTTCCACCTTTAAATAACCTTAGTCAGGCTTAGTTATCCCCGACGAGCCTCAATTGTGGGGGGGGGGAACTAGGGGAACCCATGATGGGTTTGCTTTCACGCCCTGCTTCGCAAGGTTGACTTCCAAAAATAGGGGTGGTTTGGGGTTTTAGGCTTTTAGGGTTGAGGGTTTTAGGGTGTTAGGGTTTTAGGGTTTCAGGGTTTTAGGGTTTTAGGTTTTAAGGGTTGAAGGGTTGAAGGGTTTCAGGGTTTTGGAGCAGTACCGGTTCCGCATGAAGGTACGTTGAGAGGTTGGGGTGGTTCCCTCATTCTGGGAATTGCCAGATCTTGCCCTGCCTGCTTTTAGGTCTCGAGGTAGATAACGAGGCATTCTCTGACTGAATCGTGCTTCGTGGCGACGTAGCGGAAGTGCGAGCCGCCTAACACACAACCACCAGAATCCGTACTTTCCAATCGCTGAACCCTGAAACCACCCCAAGTTCAAAACACGAGCCAGAGGCTCACCTACTAATTGCTAATAAGGACACCCCAAAAGCAAATGTGTTCTTCCTTAAGTTTAAGGGCAGAGTAGGCATCATTGCCTTTTTTGGGGGGGTTCTTAAGCGAATAGTATAGTCACAGAGTACAAGTATGCATTGCCGACAAGAAGGCGTTCGATGACTTGTATCACAGGCTACGGGGTTGGGGGGTGGCGGGACAATTGTGTGCTACAGCTGCTATTTGGGCTTATGGTTTAAGGTTTCGGGTTTGCGGTTTGCTTTTGGCCCAGAAACCTACCTTTTTAGGGTTCCTCGTTATGCTTTCCTTATATATCCCCTTAAACAGGTAGGTTGTTTGGGCTACAGGTATGGTTTATGGTCCCTCGGCCGAGCGCATCCAGCACTTGTCCAGGCTACGCTACTGCGGCATTCCGTACAGGGCACATGACGCTTTTCTGACCTGGACCTCTGCTTGTGTTGACTGGGTTTAGGGTTTAGGGTTTAGGGTTTAGGGTTTAGGGTTTAGGGTTTAGGGTTTAGGGACTATGGCCCCTCAACGCCTCGCCATGAGAAAGAAGCCCTCAAACCCCGAGCCCTAAACCCTAAATCCTGAACCCTGATCCCGGATTGAAGACGTTCTGCACGAGCCCTAAACCTTAAACCCTAAACCCTAAACCCTAAACCCTGTCGAAAGTGAAGTTGGGGAGGGCGGTCCCGCCTAATTTCGGCTCCAGGATTTACTTCTGAGTTGCGGGGGGTGGAGGGGGCGCAGTGCATATCTCTGCACGCTACCCAGAAATCATTCCGGAAGCCCTGGGCCTTTGACTCGGAGCTCTAAAGCCAGAATCCTCAACCCTAAACCCTAGCCCTAAACCCTAAACCCTAAACCCTAAACCCTACACCCTAGACCCGAGACCCGAGACCCTAGACCCTAGACCCTAAACCCTACACCCTACACCCTACACCCTACACCCTAGACCCTAGACCCTAGACCCTGAAGCGAAGGGCCACAATCCTGGGCGGCTGTGGGTGATGCTCGCGGGCATCTCGGTTGGGAGGCTTCGGAGCCTCTTCCCTCCTGAGACGGGGCCCTAAAGTCTAAAACCCTACTTGGAAATTTCATGGTATTTATTAACCAATTCTAGCTGTACTTATATAACCATATTAGGGCACTTATAGGGGGCCTAGAGGACTTCCAAGTCCCGAACCCTGAACCTTATATATCCTGAGCTCGAAGCCCGAGAAATCCTAAACCTGGTAACTTCCCTACCCCTAAACCCCTAAACCCTAAACCCTAAACCCTAAACCCTAAACCCTAAACCTTAAACCCTAATTTGAGGACTCCAAACTCTTCAGGGCTTTGGGTTTCGCGTTTACACGCTTTAGGGTTTCGGGTCCGACATAAAAACCCCTACACCTTAAACCTCCGAATTGCTAGGGTTTGGAGTTTAGGGTTTAGGGTTTAGGGTTTAGGGTTTAGGGTTTAGGGTTTAGGGTTTAGGGTTTAGGCTTCAGGGTTGAGGTTCCTAGGGCAGATCTCCCTGATAGGGTTTTAGGGTTTAGAATCGGGATGGAGAGTTTAAGGCAAAGATGGTTCTTCTCTAGTATGAAAGGCTCCATACCACGCGTATATTCTAGACATGTATGTATATGTAGTTATGCTTCTGCATGTGTATATGTTTTCATGATGTCTATGCGTGTATACACACGCATATATGTATATGTATATATATATATATATGCATACATATATGTATATACATACACACACACATATATATATATATAAACATTGTACACATGCATACACATGGCCATTGCACGGGTGTTTAGCAGATGCACCTCAGCGGATGCCGTACCCCTCTTGGGTCTGCGAGCAGTCATGGAGCGGAGGTGCAAAACAGTGTGGCAAAAATGCTGACCTTAAAGCAACTAACCCCTAACCCCTAACCCCTAAACCCTAAACCCTAAACCCTAAAAACCCTAAAAGCCCTAAAAACCCTAAAAACCCTAAAAACCCTAAACCATAAAACATAGCGTTTAGTGTTCTGGCTTTGTAGCGGTGAGGATTTTGGGCTTCGCCTCCAGCTCAGGGTTCGCAGGGTTCGAGGTCTATTTCTCCTACAGAAAGGGACGCTGAGGTCCCTGGGCCTGTTTGCATCAGCTTTTAGGCGTGTTGAGATGTCCTAAACCCTAAGCCCTAAACCCTATATCCTTGCTCCTTGGAAGTCTCGGACATACCCAAGATAGCGGTACCTCTTTTATACAACAGAATAGAATCCCCTTAAAGGCAGCCCCCAAAAGAGTACCCATATTTTCGGAAACCCCATTTCTCTTTATGGAACTATGATATATCCTTTGGAAGAGCTTGCTTTGTAGGGTCCTTAAGGGAGGGGGCACCTAAGGCAAGCTTAGGGAGCCTTAGGGAGAAGTGGGGAGTATTAGGGGACCTTGGGTTACGGTACAACGCCCCCTTGAAACCCGCTCCCAGAACATGTGTTATTTTCTGGGTGGTTCTTTAGCAAGTAGCAGAACTGAACCAGAACCCTGATCTCCTGAACATTACAAGGTTTATAAGCACACATACCCTCTCTAAGCCCTGCTGACACCTCCGCAGTAGACAGACACTACAAACCCTTGCAAAGTACGAGTTTAAACCCTATGCTTCCCCGCCCCGTTGTATTCCCTGTAGCCTGAACCCTAAAACCCCAAACCCTGAACCCTGAAGACCATGTAGTCCACTTTAAGCCCTTAACAGCCCCTACGGCGGATTCCTTGCTCATACCATGAGTCGACGCCCTGGAAGTTGTTGTCAAGCCGAAACACCAAACCCTGAGGCCCTATACTCCAAAACCCTACAACCCTTACAGTTTGTAGGGTTTAAGAGTTTCGGGTTTAGGTTTCAGGGCTATCTATCTAACCGCCTCCCCCCCCCTCCTCCCCCCCGATCTCGCTCCTCCCGACGTCACGTCCCAAGCTTTGCCCCGAAGATTCCAGGACGGCCGAACAGTGTGGCACGACTACTACAGCGGCCTTTACCCACCGGCGTCCCAGCAGCGTGGGGTTTGGGGTTTGGGGTTTGGGGTTTAGGGGTTAGGGGTTTAGGGATTCGGGTTTATAGGATGATTGCACTGCATAATTTGGCCGCTTTCCAGACACCCTATGGGGGTTAACCTGTCAAGGAAAACGTTTTACTGTGAACTGGTCTCTCTCTCTCTCACTATGTATATGTATATATAATGTTTATTTATATTTATATTTAGATTTGCATTTATATTTTTACTTTTAGTTTTTTTATTTTTATGTATTTATTTATTTACACACTAGTTTCTGATGTTCAGCTGTAGGGTGTCCTTCAGCAGCCACGCAACCCTGAACCCTAGGGTTGGTCCAGGTTTGTTCATGTTCAGGGTTGTAGGGGGTCGGGTTTGGGGGTTTCGAGGTTTAGGGCTCTTTAGGGGTTTAGGGGGTTAGGGGTTTAGGGGTTTCGAGGTTTAGGGCTCTTTAGGGGGTTAGGGGTTTAGGGGTTTCGAGGTTTAGGGGTCTTTAGGGGTTTAGGGGGTTTAGGGGGTTAGGGGGGTTAGGGGTTTAGGGGGTTTAGGGGTTTAGGGGGTTAGGATTTCGCGTGTAGGGTGCGTGCAGCTATGCGCTTCAACTGATGCTCCTTCACCGCCCGACGCTGAGGTGAACTACTCGGAGCAGTTCGAGACTTGTCCGGGGGGCTTCACCTCCATCGCATGCCCTCAACCCTAAACCCTAGACCCAGAAGGGTTTAGGGTTAGGGTTTAGGGTTTAGGGTTTAGGGTTTAGTGTTTAGGGTTTAGGGTTTAGGGTTTAGGGTTTAGGGTTTAGGGTTAGGGTCTGGGTTTAGGGTTTTAGGGTTAGGGTGTGAGGATGCAGTATCTATATGGCGTAGGTTGCTTGCTCCAGTTTGCTGCTTATCCATGGTGGTCGTAGATTCTTTTACCCTCACACATATAGCATCGTCCACAGCTCATGAAGGTTGCGAGTTCTTGGTAGATAACTACAGGCTTAGGACAAGTAGGGTTTAGGTCCGGGTTGAGGGTTTAAGGTTCCGGGTTCAGGGTTCAGGGTTTAGGGTTTAGGGTGTCATGTGGACCCTCAGGGTACCAGCTACTATACTGCCTCTAGCAGCCGGCAGCCCCTGAGTAAATTCTAGGGGGTCGGAAGAAGTACAAATGCTATTCCCCTAGGGCCCCTTCATAATTTTACTACAACAACCCCCCCCCCCCCAAAAAAAAAAAAAAAAAAAAGCCTATTCCCTAAACCCTAAACCCTAAACCCTAAACCCTAAACCCTAAACCCTAAACCCTAAACCCTAAACCCTAAACCCTAAACCCTAAACCCTAAACCCTAAACCCTAAACCCTAAACCCTAAACCCTAAACCCTTTCTTATGCGATTTACAGGATGAATCTCCGGTTCCCAACGGCCCAAGGGGTTGGGTTTCTGTCTTTAAGAGGTGGGGGGGGCCCATTTGCCCACCCCGGAGCCCTTTTAGGGTTTAGGGTTTAGGGTTTCGGGTTTAGGGTTTAGGGTTTAGGGTTTAGGGTTTAGGGTTGCCCAAGGAAACGGCTGTGCGGCCATTATCCCCCCCTTGACGTCACCTTGGTCACCCTAAAGTGACCGCTGAAAAGGCCCCAAAGAGTCCACCCGAGCCACCTTTTGACGCCCTCAACTTCGCCTTTAGGCTCCGCACCCCCCCCCCCCCCCCCCCCCGATGAAACCTCGAGGCCTCATGGCACCCTAACCCCTATTAAACCCTACGAAACCCGAAGCCCTAAACCCTAAAACCTAAAACCTAAACCCTGCACACCCCATGGTTTTCTCAGGATCTACAGTGGCAACTGGCCTTGGAGAGGCCCGACAGCAACTTCGCCCAGGAGCCGCTGGGTGCGTCAACAGCCACGTGCCGAGGGTTTAGGGTTTAGGGTTTAGGGTTTAGGGTTTAGGGTTTAGGGTTTAGGGTTTAGGGTTTAGGGTTTAGGGTTTAGGGTTTAGGGTTTAGTGGACCTCAGTCCTGACTCCTGACCCTTCAGCTCTGAACCCAAAGCCTCAAACCCTAAGCCCTAAACCCTCTTGTTTAGGGTTCGGGCAGACTTCACCCCGAAAGAATGGTTGGCTGCTTTGCCTGCTTAGGATACTTGGGAACCTCGAACCCTGCCCTGGCAGCCTACCGACCCCATTTAGAGGCCCTACAAGTAAGGCCACAAACCAAAGCCTGAAGTCTAGAGGACTAAGTAGCAACTAAACCCTACTGTAGCCCTAAACCCCTAAAACCCTCAACGCCCCACACTGCCACACCTAAACCCTAAACCCTAAACCCTAACCCCCAAACCCTAAACCCTAAACCCTAAACTTCCAAACCCTGAACCACTGAACCCCTGAGCCCCTGAAGCCTCTGCCCAGAGGTCTTCCGTTCGCTTGGACGACTGTGCCCTGAACGACACGTGACTGCAACTACCCCCTGCTTCTTGGTAGGGTTTAGGGTTTAGTGTTTAGGGTTTAGGGTTTGGGAATTAGGGCCCTAGATATGTACCCTTTAAGGGATTGTATAGGGTACCTCATTCCCTCATTCCCTACGAAGAAGCAGCCAGACTACTTGCCACTGGGGCTTTGTGTTGATTTAGGCTTTGGGGGTTCTAAGTTTAGGGCTTTTTGTTTGGGGCTTCATAAGTTTAGGGTTGCTTGTTTGGGTTGGGGTTTTAAGTTCAGGGTTTGGGGTTCTAAGTTTAAGGTTTGGGGCTGAGGGTGGCAGGTCTGAGTCAGATTTAGGGTTTAGGGTTTAGGGTTTAGGGTTTCGGGTTTAAACCCTAAACCCTAAACCCTAAACCCTAATTCCTAAACCCTAAACCCTAAACCCTAAACCTCCATCCTCCAGCATCTACGAGCCGCAAAGCACAGCAAAACCCCAAAGCTCCATAGCGCCTCAACCCCAAACCCTAACCCTAAACCCTAGGCCCGTAGCTCTAAACCCATCTATGTCCCTCGTAGGGTTGAGGCAATCCTAAACGTGAAGGGGTTTACAGGGTTTGGGGTTGGGGGTTTGGGGTTTTCAGGGTTTTTCAGGGTTGAGGGTTTAGGATTTAGGGGCCAAAGCCGTTAACCCTCAGCCCTCCTGGCAAGGACATGATCTCCTCCACCTTTGGCGTTGAGAACTTCCTGCCGCGCCTGGGGTTCGCAAAGTCGCGTTTACGTTTCCTTTTGTTTGTTTTGTGGGGGGGGTAGGGGTGTTAGGATTTTGGTTTAGGGGTGCTAGGGGTGTAGGGTTTTGAGGCTTTGTTGGGTTTGGGGTTTTTTGGGATTAGGGCTGATGCGCTTGAGGCTGACTTAGCCGGAGTGAAGCAGCGGTTCCTACACATCTCAGTCTGGGGATATCAGACCGGAGATGCCGAGGGGAGCCGGGTGATCAGATGTACGCCTGTGTCTCAGGCCCATCTGGCCGGGGTAGGATACCCGAGGATTCGGGGCCCGAGGAGTCGGGGTAACCAACGTAAATGGACTGCAGCATCCATGACTTTGTACAGCGCTGCAACGCACGAGTTCGAGAAAGAAGAAACACTCTTGCTGTGTCAACTAAATGTTATATGTATACATATATATATATATATGCCCTGAAGGGATTACATATTGTACCTCATTCCCTCATGCCCTACAAAGAAACCAAAGAACCACGAAAGATGCACGGCAGAATACCCTAAACCCTAAGCCTCTAAGCCCTAGACCCTAAACCCGAAACCCGAAACCCTAAACTCTGAGCCACAAAGCCCAGGAACTGCAGCGCTGAGATGCTGGAGGAGCATGAGAGCGGCTCGTTGAGGTTTAGGGTGTCGGGTTTAGGGTTTAGGGCTTAGGGGTTTAGGGTCTGGGGTTTAAGTTTCGGAACACTTCCGTATATAGTAAGTATATCGTAGGAGTGCCTAGCCCGGGGTTGGACTAAAGGGCTGTTTGGGGTTTAAGGGTTGAAGGATTCAAGGGTTCAAGGGTTTGGGGCTTTAGGGTTTCAGGGTTTTTGGCTGGTTAGGGTTTAATGCTTAATGACACAAAATACAAAACCCAACTTTGTCTTCGGAAGCCTGTCAGGAAGCAAGGCCGCCCTTGCTTTAGGGTTTGGGGTTTAGGGTTTAGGGTTCAGGGTTATAGGTTTAGGGTTTAGAATTTAGGGTGCAAGTCGATTTCCTCCAGAAGAAGCTGGATGACCCGATTGGACCTGAGGAAAGCAACAAAGATCAACCCGTCGTGCAGCATTCCCGGGGCTCTACACGATCGCAACATCAATTCTTCCCGCAAGCTGCGGGAGAAGCCTCTGCTCACTTCAGAGGATGTCAGAGGATAGGATTTCAACTTCGCCAAGAAGCACCGCAGCAAGATCTCTGCATGGTCGGTTAAGAGCATTGATGCCTTCATTGATCGAAAGCACTGTTGCTGATGCCTAAACCCTAAACCCGAAACCCTAAACCCTAAACCCCCTAAACCCTAAACCCTAAACCCTAAACCCTAAACCCTAAACCCTAAACCCTAAACCCTAAACCCTAAACCCTAAACCTTGGCTAGCCTTTTTGGGTTTATTAGGCTTTCTAGTAAGGCAGCTAAAAACTTAATTTCTAGCTACCCTCCTAAGTGCAGCCAAGTTATAAGGTAGTCTTCTTCTGACAACTTGATCTTTTTACCCCATGCGTCTTTTGGAAGTAAGAGTAAGGCTTTAAGGATTTAAGGGTTTATGGCTTTAGGATGTAAGGGATTTAGGGTTTCAAGGGCTTTGGTGTTTTGGTAGAGTTTTCAGCGTATAGTCTCTTCTAACCCCTGGTTCCTACACCCCAAACCCTAGTTTAGTAGGGCTAGGGGCCGCTTACCGATTGGCCATTGGGTATTTAGGGGGCTCTCACCGCCTCTCTTGTGCCTGGGATTCTTGGGGAGTTTCCGCCACCCTCCCTCTCCCTCTCTCTCTCTCTCTCTCGCTCTCTCTTTCTTTTTTTCTTCTCTCTCTCTCTCTCCCTCTCTCTCTTAGATCTTCTAGCTCATCCGCGTCTCTTGTTCTGGGTTGTTAGGGATCCTGGCAGCCCTAAAAAAGCTTTAGGGTTTAGGGTTTAGGGTTAGGTTTTAGGGTTTAGGGTCTAGGGTTTAGGGTCTAGGGTTTAGGTTTTAGGGTTTAGGGTTTAGGGTTTAGGGTTTAGAGAGTTTTGGGTTTAGGGTCTTGAGGGAGGGGGAGTTTGGGATGGAAAGTTCCGAGGGGGAGAGGGAGTCCAAGTGGTTGGCGGGTCCAAGGCTTCGGATTTGGGGGGGTTTATGGTGGTGGCGAAAAGTGTTCGAGTAAGGCTTGTTGAACGGCTAGGGTTTAGAGTCAAGCTTAGGGTTTCCTTCAAAGGCATCGCAAGCCACAATAAAGACAGACGCCCCCAAGCCCTGAAACCACTGTATGCTGTTGCACCAGAGCCCTCCTTCCCCCCAAATCCTAAACGCTGCATTCGATAATCCTAAGCATGTAGAACTCTTTTGCGCAAGCACCATCTCCCAGCAAACCAATCCTGTAGCCAAACATCCTACCCAATCCCCAAATTCCAACAAACCTTGAAACTTTGCAGCCCCATGACCCCAAGCTTCCCCAACAACCTGATACTTGGAGGTTCGCAAGAACTTTGGTTGACCTGATTTAGGGTACTTATACTAACAAGTACCCACGACCTTCAAGTTAAGCCTAAACCCTGAACCCCCCTAAACCCTAAACCCTACCCCTCCAAGCCCTGAGGGCTGGAGAAGGGCATCTCCAAACGCAACTTCGCAGCTACGGCTGCAAGACGTCCTGGGGTTTCTGGGTTTAGGGTTTAGGGCTTAGGGTTCAGGGTTTGGGGTTTAGGGTTTAAGGCTTAGGGTTTAGGGTTTTGGGTTTAGCTTTCATTTAGGCTTTTTTCGGTTTGTGGGCTTTACTTCCCAGGCGCAAGGTTAGAGATTTGACGCGTCTGGGCTTGAGGGTGAAGGGTTGAGGGCTTGGGGGGCTGTACTTGAAGGGCCATGGGTACTTATTTGCAGAGTTTAGGGTTTAGGGTTTAGGGTTTAGGGTTTAGGGTTTAGGGTTTAGGGTTTAGGGTTTAGGGTTTAGGGTTTAGAGTTGTAGGAACCCTCGCAAAAGGTATAACCTTAGTTACCTCAGTCTTTAAAACTTTCCCGAATCCGAGGCCCTGTTTGCAACGGCTTCTCGTAATCAGGCCTTCAAATGAAGGTCCTAAAGCCTTGAGTCACTAAAGTCCTTTTGCAGGTGGTGAGAGGTTCAGCATTCACCAACACAGCTTAGAAAGAAACGCGCTGAAGCTCTAAGACCCTGAAACAAGCTTACGCCAAAGCCCACAAAAGCCAAAAACCACCCCCCAAATCCCCAAACCCTAATGCCTAAACCCTAGCCCTAAACCCGAAACCCTTAAACCTTGCCCGAAAACCCGCAAACAAAAAAACGCTCCGAACGCCTTGGGCAACACGTGGCTCTCAGGGGCTTTGGGGTGTGTAAGGTGTTTCTACTTGGAGGTTCAGGTGCCCGAATAGGGTTGTCATTGGGTTATTGTGCAGGTATAATTGGGTTACTAGGTACCCAAAAACCTCCAAGGTCCCTTTGTAGGGGTCGCGCCCCTGAAAGCATGCTCATGGCGATCCGACGCCGATATCTCATGGCCTGGGGCAACCGGAACTTTGTCTCGAAGAGACCCGGCTTTTCATCTACTCAGCGATGTTCGGACTTCGCGTGTCTTCGTGCGCGTACTTCCCAAAGTACTCGTAGAGGGTCCCCTTTTCGTAAGCTCCCAAAATACTACAAGCCTTGTTGTAGCACCCCACCCAAACAAAAAACACAAACAAGCAGATGGCTAACCCTAAACCCGGAATCCCTCAATGTGGGCCTTCCAGGTTGCTAGGCGCTTGGTTTTGCTGGGATTCAACACAAAGGCGTCTGTTTAGGGCTTCGGGTTTCGGGTTGAAGGTTTATGTTCGAAAGCTCTTGAAACTGAGGTTTCTCTTCAGAACCCTACCCTAGATGTGGCCAAAATTTCAACTGGAGCCCCCTAACAAGAGACTACCCTAAACCCTAAACCCTAAACCCTAAGCCCTAAACCCGAAACCCTAAACCCTAAAGCCTAGACCGCAAGAGAGAGCTGGGCATTCAGGAGTTGGGATCCTTCAGGTGAACTGAGGCGCCAAGTTAACAACCTTCATCCCTTTGTCCTTTTGGGGTTTAGGGTTTGGGGTTGAGGGTTCAGGGATCAGGGATTAGGACTGAGGCTATTGGACTTAGCTTTAGGGTTTGCTCCCTGGTTCTTAGTAGGGAATGAGGGAATGAGGTACCCTATATATATATATATATATACCCGTTAAGGGATTATATGGGGTACCCTATGCCCTCATTCCCTACTAAGACCCAGCCAGTTTGTGGTTTGGGGGTTAGGGTTTTTCTTTGAGGTACGATCAACTCGTTTAGGAGCCAGAGGGTCAAGCGCCTAACTTTGTCCCCCTTCGAAAAGGGTTTAGGGTTTAGGGTTTAGGGTTTAGGGTTTAGGGTTTAGGGTTTAGGGTTTAGGGTTTAGGGTTTAGGGTTTAGGGTTTAGGGTTTAGGGTTAAATCTCAGCCAGTAATCGGCTCCGGGTTACATGAAAGACTCCCTGGTTCTTAGTAGGGACTGAGGGCATGAGGTATCCTGTATATACCCTTTAAGGGATTATGTAGGGTACCTCATTCCCTCATTCCCTCCGAAGTACCAGCCAGAAGATGCTCCGAAGAGTAGCCAAGGAGTGATATGGTGGAGCGCCTGCAGAAGACTCTTGCACAAGTTTGGACGACTGAAGCCGAGACACCACGGCCTAAACCTTTATGATCCCTAAGCCCTATAAGACCTAAAAAGAAGCCTAAACGTCAACTAAAACTCTTAGTCCCAAACCTTAAGCGTAACCCCCAAGACCCCTCATTGTCTCTATTCTCTATGGCGGAGTGTCAAGGCTGCAAGGCAACAGGCCTGTTGCTCTGAAAATGCCTTTGTGAAGGTCATGTCTAAAGCTCGCGAGAGAAAGACTAGGTTTTGCGTTGCGGGACGTCTTCCACCGGAGGGCCTTCTCATAGTTCCTACCTGTTGAAAGGCTCGGGGCCTCCCCAAATGGACTTCGGAAGTTGGGAGGGGGGCGGGGGGTGTCCGGTTGAGAGGCCTCCAGGGAGGGGGCCCTAGCCGGTGGCCTCCCAAAATGGTCTTCGGATCCGGTTTAAGAAAGGCCTTCCGAAATGGACTTTGGATGGGGGGGCGGGGGGTATTTAGGGTTGTGGTTTAATTTATAGGGTTACAAATCTAAAGCATGTTGTACCAGAAAAGCTGTCCAGTCATGGGGTCTACCTACAGGAAATGGAAGAGGGCTTTGGGTTTCGGACTTGTGCCTGGAGGTTCGTGGGTGCTTATCACCCCAACAGACTTATGATTGTGGTTGCAAGTACTTATGAATGCCAAGTCAAGTTTAGAGCAGAGCGGGGGGTAGGGGGAGGGGCCTTCTTGGGTAAGGTGGGGTTTCTGGGGCTCACAGCTGCAGCATAGTTTAGTCCTTCTGAAATGCTTTTCGTCCAGCAGGGGGCACCCCAAACCCTAAACCCTACACCCTAAACTCTAAACCCCAAACCCAAACCCTACACCCTAAACGTCATGCCCGAGGTTGGTTCGACCCTTCGTGCTGCAGGACGTGCTTCAGACTTCTGCCTGCCCAGCAAAGTTCCGGGTTCAGGGGCTCGGCTTTAGGGTTCAGGGTTTAGGGTTTAGGGTTCAGGGGTTAGGGTTTAGGGTTTAGGGTTTAGGGTTTAGGGTTTAGGGTTTAGGGTAGGGCTGGAAGGTTTTGGGGCTCTGAGGTTTGGGGTAGAGGGTTGTGGGATCAGGGCCTTCAAACGGGGATTGTAGGGCTTTAGGGGTTACCCTAAACCCTAAACCCTAAACCCTAAACCCTAAACCCTATGGTGTCAGGGCTTAAGGGTTTCGGGCTTTGTTGGGGTCTAAGGCACGGCCTCGCCTTCAAGCATCTTCGGGGTTTTAGGGTTGAGGGTTTAGGGTTCAGGGTTTTAGGGTTTCAGGGTTTGAGGATTTTTGGGCTTTAGGGTTTAAGTTTCTAGGGTTTTAGGAATTTAGGGTTTTACGGTTTTAGGGTTTTAGGGTTTAGGGTGCAGGGTGTAGTGTTTAGAGTTTCGGGTTTAGGGTTTAGGGCCTTCAAAATGTTTCGGGGGTTGCGGGTTTCGATCAAAGATGGGGGGGGTTTCCAACTTTGGGGTCCCGTTTCGGGTGGTCCCTTTTAAAGGGCGTTCAGGGTGTCGGGGTTGCTGGTAGGGTTGAGGGCACAGGGGGAACCTGAATTTGGGAAATACGTCTAATTCAGAAATTAGAAGTTCACGAGGTCAATGTTCTGTCTTCTCCCACCCGAAACTCTCAACCCGCACGGGGCTCTGGGCTTCAGACTTCAGTTAGGAGAAAAGGCTGAGTTGTTGTTCGGGTTTAGGATTTATAGGGTAACCCAGCACCCCCCCCCCCCCCCCCCCCCCCCCCCCCCCCCCCCTCCCCAACCACCACCACCCTTGAGCTTTCTGGCAACTGCTGCATGAATACTGAGGGCCCTGACATCGAAGCTCCACCCATGGCAGCAGTCGCCCAAAGCCGTCACCGATGCCCTGCAGGAGGGTGCACGGCTCAGAGGTTCAGGGTTTGAACCCTTAAACCCTAAACCCTATGCCCTAAGACCTAAGACCTAAGCCCTAAGCCCTAACTTGCAGTTATGTTTGAGGTCGGCAACCCTAAATCCTAAACCACGCAAATTGTAACTCTCCACTTCTATCTCTTCAGTCTCTGCGGTTGTCGCTTGGAGCATCCGTTGAAGCTGACACCCCACACTGTAAATTTCAAAGCCCTCACTGCACCCTAAACCCCAAACCCCAAACCCTAAACCCCAAACCCAAAATTCCTAACCCCTAACCCTAAACCCCGCACCCTAAACCCCAAACCCCAAAACCTAAACCCTAAACCCGGAACAGGAGTTGAAGAAGCTGAAGCGCGGCGACCTCATGGGTGAGCTCCTCCTGGTGCTCGCAAGAGACCGGCGTGTGAAGTTGAACGTCTTCGACTTCAACACAGGTTTCCCTCCAGGGTTTAGGGTTTAGGGGTTGGGGTTCCCTAAACCCTAAACCCTAATTCCTAAATCCTAAATCCTAAACCCAAGCTGAAGGTTGAGGGTTGAGGGGTTTGCACCCTACAACCCTAAACCCTACAACCCTCAAACCGTCAGTCTTGGGAGGGTGAAGGGCTTAGAGGCTGCGTTTTCAACTGCTGCTGCCTCCTTCACAGCTTTACAGCCTGCACCCTGCAACCCTAAACAAACCCTAAACCCCAAACCCTAAACCCCAAACCCAAAACCCCAAACTTTCCCCAACCCGCAAGACCTGCCTCGTACACCCGCAGCCACAAGAGCTGCTAAGCCTTCAAAGCGACCTGAGATTAACCCTTAGCCTCCAGCCCCCTGGTTCGGAGTTTAGGGTTTAGGGTTTAGGGTTTAGGGTTTAGGGTTTAGGGTTCAGGGTCCAGGGTCTAGGGTCTATAGGGTCTAGGGTTTAGGGGGCTTGGGGGTTTTGGGTTCAGGGTTTAGGGGGGTTTGGGGTTTAGGGTTTGGGGCCTTAAGCCCTCAAGCTAAACCCTAGACCCTAAGCCTTTAACCCTAAACCCTAAGCCCTAAACCCTAAACCCTAAACCCTAAACCCTAAACCCGAAACCCTAAACCCTAAACCCTAAACCCTACACCGCAAGCTTCGAGGCATCAGTGCATGCGCAACGGCCCTACAGTGGCCCCTGGCACTGCGGGTTTTCCAGTCCATGCCCGCAGCCAAGGCCCTCAACCGCCCCACGAAAGTTTAGTAAAGGGTTTCCTTAACCCTATAGGGCTTTGGGCTAGGGTTTAGGGTTTAGGGTTTAGGGTTTAGGGTTTAGGGTTTAGGGTTTAGGTTTTAGGGTTTTGGCTTTAGGGCTTAGGGTTTAGGATTTAGGGTTTAAGGTTCGGAGCAACAACTTTGCCCTTGAAGTCCCAAAGCTCCCGAAGCCTCGAGCAGAACCTAAAACTTTAAGCCCCCAAAGAAACCGACCCTTAAAACTCTCAACGCCCAAGCCAAGCCCTGAACCCTGAACCCTAAACCCTAAACCCTAACCCCTGCACCCTGCAGGTCAGTCCAAGCGTGGTCAGCTACAACGCCACCATCAACGCCTGCGATTTTGTCATAGTTGGGGAGCATTTCACATTCTTAGGGCTACTTACACCCAATCAGGACTAGAAACTCAATGTTTAACTGGGTATTGCTTGGGGATAATGTTAAATTTCCCTTCTTTCCTTTTTAAGGGAACCTATTCATAAATAATTTTCAAAAGGGCTTTAAAAGCAACACCCAGTTAATATCATCCCGACCATGAACTAGGCGAGTACCCTTTTTGGGTAACCCTGAACCCTAAACCCTAAACCCTAAACCCTAAACCCTAAACCCTAAACCCTAAACCCTAAACCCTAAACCCTAAGCCCTAAGCCCTAAGCCCTAAGCCCTAAGCCCTAAACCCTAAACCCTAAACCCTAAACCCTAAACCCTACCCTTACCATAAGATGGTTACTCGGCTACCAAGGCGAGAAGGGCCGGCAATGGGCCATGGCTTTGCAGCTCTTCTCCTCGATGCCTCTAGCCGCCCTGTGCTTTGGCTCGGCCTCGATGTCGGGTTCAGGGTTTAGGGTTTAGGGTTGAGGGTTTAGCTGGGTAGGGCCTTGGGACATTTGACATTTAGGGTTGAACCCACATAGGAAGCCGAACGTCATCACCTTCTGCGCATCCATCAACGCCTGTGCCCGGGCGGCCCTTTGGCAAGCGGCCGTCCACCTCTTCAGCTCGATGCCGGATGCCCAGGCGCGCATGTAAGGGTTCAGGGTCCAGGGTACCCAAACCCCAAATCCCAAACCCTAATCAAGTCCTAGGGTTAGCGAGCTTATCGGGCAAAATGGGGGCAGTATAGGGTAGAAAGGGTTGATAGGGTGTTTACAGCGAATAGGGCTCATCAAGTCTATACCGCCTAAACCCTAAGCCCTAAGCCCTAAACCCTAAACCCTAAACCCTAAACCCTAAACCCAGTGTTGCTGGGCTTTGGATGATCGGCTTGTGGGGCTTGCTGTTGATGAGGCTTGGGATTGGAGGTTTAGGGTGTAGGGTGTAGGGTTACACCCTAAACCCAAAATCCTAAAAACCTCTTTGCTTAAACTCTATGGTAGGGGCTGTGTAGAAGGCTTAAGTAGGCTTGAGATCCGGCATCCAATGCCAGCTCTCAACCCTAAGCCCTAACCCTAAACACCAAACTGTCACGGTCAGGTTATTCCCAACGTCATTAGCTACAACGCGACGATCAGCTGCTGCGAGAAGGGTGGCCACTGGCAAGCAGCGCTTCAGCTGTTCGCGTCCCTGCCGGATGTCAAGCCTCTCGGCCTCTTTCTGCGCGAGGGTTTAGGTTTTAGGGTTTAGGGTTTAGGGTTTAGGGCTTAGGGTTTAGGATTTCGGGTTTTAGGATTTGGGGTCTAGTCTAATGACCCTTGCTAAGGGTGAGACTACGGATGGACGCTAGCTTCCCTTTAGTAATCCTATAGAGTTTAGGCTTCAGCCTTTCGGGTCTAGGGAAGGTTCATGATCTCGGGTCAAACCCTAGAACCCATGCAGCCCCCCCAGGGATGGACATCTGCAAACTCGCGCCAAACCTTAAGCCCTCAACCCTAACCCTCCACTCTAAACCCTAAACCCTAAACTCTAAACCCTAAACCCTAAACCCTAAACCCTAAACCCTAAACTCCAAACATTAAACCCTAAACCCTGAACCTTAAACCCTAAACCCTAAACCTTAAGACCAGGGTGGGGCCGAGGCTTGCACCGGACGTCATCAGCCACAGCGCCGCGATCAGCGCTTGCGAGAAAGGTGGAGGTTTACGGAAATCAGGGGCCCCTCATAAAGTCCCCACAATATGGTAGGGTTTAGGAGTAGGGTTTAGGATTTAGTTAGGGTTTAGGGCTGAGGGTTTAGGGTTTAGGATTTAGGGTTTAGGTCCCTAGAAGAAGGACCCCAATGAGGCACCCCTTAATCGGAATTCTTCAGGTGGGCAGTGGCAAGCCGCCTTGCCGCTGGGTTCGATGTGGACTCAACTTGTTTAGAGTTATGGGCCTTGATCCCTATATACATACAATAACTAGTCACAAATGTATATATGTTTATATGTATATGTATATATATATATAATTATATATATATATATCTACATATGTATGCACCTGTTTTTATTTATACGTAATTAACCCCTGTAACGTGTTTTTTTGGGGCCCCCGAAATCCACCGCAGGCAGGTCTTTGAGGGCCTGTTGCATGCCAGCATTACTCCAAATGTAACGGGGCCCATTGTTGAAAATCATTTTACATGTTTAAAAGGGTTTAGGGTTTAGGGTTTAGGGTTCAGGGTTTAGGAAAGTTTATGAACACTTAAACCCAGTAAGAAAATGATCATTCTTAGGTATTACCCCAAGAATGGTGCAGGTAATCATCTACAGTGCTGCCATCAGCTGTTGCGAGAAAGTCGGGCAGTGGATGGCAGCCATGTCGCTCTTTGGCGCCCTGCGGAAAGAGGGCGTGGCCCCCGATACCATCATCTACAGCTCACTGATCAGCTCCTGTGCGAAGGGTGCACAGTGGCAGCTGGCAGTTCAGCTGTTGGATGCGATGGCTTGCGATCAGTTGGCTCCTTGGTAGCCCAGTCGTACCCCTTTTTTTTCTTTTTTTTGTTTAAGGTTCCCTTAGATTTTTTTTACCAACCAAAAAAGGGTGCCCTTATTATACTAATTATGGTTACTGGGGTACCAAGGCTCCCAACGTCGTCAGTTACAGCGCCACGATCAGTTCTTGTGACTCGGCCGTGTGGGTGTCGAGTTTTGCTTTTCTTGGCGTGGAGGGGCTGCTGTTCCAAATTGGACAGTTGCCTGCGGCCCGAACAACCTACCTTTTTAAGGGATATAGAAGGCAATCATAGTACGAAGCCCCGCAAAAAAGGTAGGTCTATTTCGGCTGAGGGTAGGGGCTACCAGAAGTCAGGGTTTCGGGTTGAGGCTTTGACGGCTTGGTGTGTTTGCCTTCTTTGGGCTCTTTCAGTCGGGGTGATAGGATGCCCTTACTTACGCGGGAAAACCCGGACCCGAAAGGATTCAGGGTTTAGGGTTTAGCGTTTAGGGTTTAGGGACTCCAGAAAGTAAGGTGAGAAGGCTGGGCAGTGGGAGTCGGCACTGCACCTTTTCACTGCCATGGCCGACGCCCGAATCGCCGCGAATGTGGCAACTCGACCGCGACTTCAAGGTTCTTTGGGGTTCTCACAATTCGGGTTTAGGGTTTAGGGTTTAGGGTTTAGGGTTTAGGGTTTAGGGTTTAGGGTTTAGGGTTTAGGGTTTAGGGTTTAGGGCTAGCCCTGTTTAGGGTCTAAGGAATAACCAGGTCCCCGAAACACTAAACCCCTAGAATGCTCGTTTTTTAGAGGGTTCGAAGGACAGTTGAGGTAAGCTGCGGTGCGGCCATCTCCGCCTGTGAGAAATCCGCCCTCACGACGTTCTCAGCAACTTTTTTCTGGGTTTAGGGTTTAGGGTTTAGGGTTTAGGTTTTAGGGTTTAGGTTTTAGGGTTTAGGGTTTAGGGTTTAGGGTTTAGGGTTTAGGGTTTAGGTTTTGTGTGCTGGTTAGGGGTTCAGGGTTTGAGGGTCAGGGGGATGTGGGAGGGGGTTCTGATAATTAGTGTCCCCCTTCTATAACCCCAAATAATCTGATCTCCTGCAAAGGACCCCTACACCCTGAACCTTAAACCCTAAACCCTCAACCCTAAACCCTAAACCTCCACAAAGGTAGCCCTAATTTCCCGGAAGCCTCATGTTTGCTGTGAGTTGCTCCGTTGAGCATTCGGGATCCCTGAAGCCGAGCTCGAGCTCGAAGAGATTCAGGCTACATGTAGGGTTTAGGGTTTAGGGTTCAGGGTTTAGGGATCAGTTTGTAACTAACATATTGCAACCTGCGGTTGAATAAACACATGGCTCTGACCCCATACTCTTCCAGGTAGGCCCTTGGGATCTTTCATCTTTTCTCCCTTATTGGGTTTAGGGTCTAGGGTTTAGGGTTTGGGGTAGTTTAGGGGGTTAAAGAGGATCATGCTTAGGATCATTTTTCAGAGTGTTTGAAGGGCCTTCCTAGTCTCAAGCCCACGTGATACCCGAAGCTCTATACTTACTGTTGGTTACTAGGGAATGAGGGAATGATGTACACATCCCCCTGTATATATACATGCACCCTTTAAGGGATTATATGTGGCACCTCATCCCCTCATTCGTTTAGGGTTTAGCAGGGTTTAGGGTTTTGGGTTTTGGGTTTACCCTATTACTAAAACTTAAACCCTAAACCCTAAACCCTAAACCCTAGACCCTAAACCCTAAACCCTAAACCCTGCAGGCACAGTGGCGGCTTGCTCTGCGCATCTTCGGCCAGATGCCACAGTGCGGGCCTCCTTGACTCGCAACAAAACCATTTTGGGTTTAGCTGTTTTTTTTTTGTTTTTTGCTTTTTTTGGGGCGGCTTAGTTTTTTTTTTTTTATATGTGTTTTTAAAAGTTGGGTTTTGGAGTACTATACGTTAATGTGTTCTTGGTTCCGGGTTCCTACTTTAGCTACTTCTACCTTACTAAAAAGTAGATTATACCTGTCTTCCAGGGTCTACTCCCAAGTAGGGTTAAGGGCCCCGAAGCACCCAACTCGGAAACCTGCAAGAGCAGCCTCAGGCGTTCTTAACGCACCGCAGAGGTTTCCTAGGGGTTTCGGGTTTAATGTTTGGGATTTGAGGTTTAGGGGTGTAGCATTGGTCAGCTGAACACAGCGGCTCAACGCAGCACCTCTGTTCGAGCCACGTATTTGAGAGGTCTTTAACCCTAAGCCCTAAACCCTAAACCCTAAACCCTAAACCCTAAACCCTAAACCCTAAACCCTAAACCCTAAACCCTAAACCCTGAACCCTGAACCCTAAACCCTAAACCCTAAACCCTAAACCCTAAACCCTAAACCCTAAAACCCTAAAACCCTAAAACCCTAAAGCCCTAAACCCTAAACCCCAAACCCTGGAGTTCCCAGAGCTGAGAAGCCTCGAACCCCCTGGAATCATCTATGAAAGGGCTCTGAAGCCCAGACCGTTCCCGGCGCAAGCGTTGTTTAGGGTTTAGGATTTAGGATTTAGGGTTTTGGGTTTTGGGTTATGTTTTTTTTTTTTTTTTTTTTTGGGGGGGGGGGGGGGGGGGGTGTCCCCTTTTGTGCTCCCAGGCCCAACGAAGCTTCCAAGCCACTGGAAGCCCTGAAAAGGTTTTGGCTACAGTCTCTCGTTGAGAACTTGGGTTTGGCTGGCTCTGGCTTGTGCTGGCTCCGGTTTGGCCCGCCGTGAGTTGTGATTGGGTGGTCATGAAATTGAAAGGGGTGGGGTACCCCAAAACCCAAAACCCCACACAAAAACCCTGGCACGAAGCAAACAGCGGCGTAAGTTGTTTTGTTTTACAAGTAGCTCCAAACCCTCCAAAGCCGGCATTCGTAAAGCATTGTAGACTTCTGATGCCCCTCATTACCCAGAGGGTCCATTTGTAATACTTTTATGGAATTAGGTACCCAAAACCTTGTTTAGTATGGTTTTTGGGTACCTAAATCCATAATAGTAATACAAATGGACCCTCTGGGTTATATAGCCTAGGGTTTAGGGGCTTATGTTTCATGGCTTGGCTTTTTTGAGCCTGGAAGGACCCTGCGGCAACACTGAATCCTAAACCCTACCCCTATATGATGGTCCCCCTCTTATTTAAGGTACCCCAAATCCGAATCACATGCCAAAAAAGGGGGGTTTGCTTGGCCCTGGGGACAGAGGGCTGCCCAAGAAATCAAGTTAACCCTAGGCCCTAGACCTTAAAGCCTAAACCCGAAAGCCTAAACCCCAGCCTTAAAGCCTAAACCCTTAAGCCTAAACGCTAAGCCCGAAACCCTAAATCGAGTATGAACGTTCGCAAGTGAGTGTGCAACGTAGCTGAAGTGATCAGGTTGGAGCCGAACCTGGTCAATTGCAATGCTGCTCTCAGCGCTTGCGAGAAGGTTTGGGCTTTGGGCTCAGGGTTTGGGGTTTAGGGTTTGGGGTTTGGGGCTCAGGGTTCAGGGTTTTTTTGGTCCAGGACGCTGTGCCCTGAAAGCCTAGAAAGCCCTAAACCCTGAAACCCATATGGTAGAAGCCAAAAAGTTGGAAACTAAACCCTAAACCTCTCTTTCATATTTTTTAATGTTGGGGAGTTTACTAGGCAAGGTCATTCTTTGACTGGGCAAGGTCATTTGTTTTACTGGGCAAGGTCATTTTCTACTGGGGAGGGGTGGGCAAGGTCATTTTTGGTACTGGGCAAGGTCATCTTTTACTGGCCAAGGTCGTTCTATAAGTGCGAAATAGTTTCTTAATGTTATGGGATTCTTTGGTCGGGTGGGTCTTTTTCTGTAATAATTTCTTGACAAGTGAATGCTTGGACTTGAGATGCTGAACCCTAAACCCGAAACCCTCAACCCTAAACCCTAAACCCTACCAGGGTGGGGCCTGGCTCCTGGCCTTGCACCTCTTCTCATCCATGCCAAGACGTCTTCTCAAGCCAGTGACCCATCTCCCATGGCAGCAAGTCTTGGGTTTTCAGGGTCTTTTTGATTTTATTATGATTATTATTATTTTTCATTTTATTTTTTTTTTTTTTTTTGGGGGGGGGGGGGGGGGGCGGGGTTGAGAACTAGGGTTTAGGGTTTAGGGTTCAAGGGTTTAGGGTGTACTGTGGTTGTTTTGGGGGGTTGTCTTTTTGATTTGTTTGCTTTGTGTGGGTTTTTTGATATTCAGAGTTTTGAGGGTTTTGTGTTTTGTTGGCCTTTTTTTGGGGCGGTGGGTTCTTGCTTGCTCTTCCTGGGGCCCTGCAGTTCTTAAACTGGGGATTTAAGGAGCCAGGTTCCCTAGATAGAGTCCGGATTGAGGGTTTGTTTAGGGTCTACTGTTTCTGCGTCAGCATTCACCCACTCCCCCCCCGCCCCCCCCCCCCCCCCCCCCCCCCCCCCCCCCCCCCCCCCCCCCCCCCCCCCCCCCCCCCCCCCCCCCCCCCAAAACCCCAATGGCATTCCTCGCGTTGTTGTTCACGGAGTGTAGGGTTTCGGGCTTCCCGCCTTCTTCCTGTGGTCGGTGGTTCATGGTGGGTTTAGGGTTACGTAGGTCTCTAGCTCGTGGTGGGTTTAGAGTTTGCGGGTTTATCCAGGGTTTTGGGGTTCGGCCGTAGAGTGTAGGGTTTCACTCAGCCTCCTGTGGTTCATGGTGGGTGTAGGGTTCATTGCAAGGTTCAGGGTTTTAGGGTGAGGGTTTAGGGGTTGCACAGGGGTGGGTGGGTGGGGATACCACACCCAGAGGCTCCTTAACATATTCCTTCAACCTTAAAAGGAACTCTCCTATACTTGAAGGAATATTCCTTAATAAAGCGGTGTTGGAGTCTGTGTACATGTCGGTGGGGCCCCTAGCCTAGGATGTCTTGAGCTACAACGCCGTCATCAACGCCTGTGGCAGAGCTGGGCAGTGGCAGCTGGCGTTGGACATGTGGCTTGCCTAAACCCCTAAACCCCGTACCTTGGGATGTCCCCCTTCTACTAGCGGGCCTTAACAGAGATTAGAATGGGGCGGGTACTCTAGTCCCCAATAAATACTGTCCTTGCCCTTGGGGGCTCAGGCGTCCGACAAAGAAGTAACCCGAAACCCTAAACCCGAAACCCAAAATGGGCTTTGGGTGTTTCAGGGCTTCGGGTTTAGGGTTTAGGGACGGACGCCCAGGGTCCCAGATGAGCAAAGGTGGTATAAGTAGACCCAACCCCCCAGACCTGAAGCCCAAAGCCCCAGCTTCTTAAGCCCTAAACCCCTAACCCCCTTTAACCCCTGAACGCTGAACCCTAAACCCTAAACCCTAAACCCTAAACCCTAAACCCTAAACCCTAAACCCTAAACCCTAAACCCTAAACCCTAAACCCTAAACCCTAAACCCTAAACACACCTGAGGTTCCATGGTCTCCCCGAAGCGGGGCTCACACCGAGCATCGTGAGCTTCAACTCCACCCTCAGCGCCTGCGCTCGGGGAGTGCAGTGGCAGCTCGCCCTCCACCTGCGCCTTGCTTGGGTTTAGGGTTTAGGGTTTAGGGTTTAGGGTTTAGGGTTTAGGGTTTAGGGTTTGGGGTTTGGGGTTTAGGGGTTTAGGGGTTTGGGGGTTTGGGGGTTTGGGGGTTTGGGGGTTTGGGGTTTGGGTTTGTTTGGGGTTTTGAGTTGGGGGTTTGGGGTTTGGGGTTTGGGGTTTAGGGTTTGGGGGTTTGGGGTTTGGGGTTTGCGGTGTGGGGTTTGGGGTTTGGGCTTTGTGGTTTGGGGTTTGAGTTAGGGTTTAGGGTTCAGGTTTGAGGCTTTAGGGGTCGCTGGGCTGCCCTGAGACCAACTGATATCTTAATCACGGCACCCCATCGTTGAAGCCAAATTCACGACGAAGATTCTTTCGTTTGGTTCTGGATTTGGCGGTCATATCTCCATTTCAATAACATTTGTTGGTAGTATCAATTGAACAATGAACAAGAATTAGTATCGACTACTAAATACGCAGATCGGAAATGCCAGTAACACGAATTTTCGTTCTGGCCCCATAGAAGGCCCGAATGCGGTGGAGATTTTCTTGAATTTCTGTGCTCGTCGATACAAGACACTCGCGCAAGTGACTTAGGCCCCGTACATTTCCTAACGGCGGGTCCTTTTCCTGCGGGGTTTCGGGTTATAGGATTTCGGGTTGCAGGCTTAGGGCTTGGGGCGGTTGCCCAGAGACTCCAATGCACTTAAAGTAAGGAACCGGTTCAACAATAAATGGTATCTTCACAGGATAGTGAGGAGTACTTCCTCATTTCTGAGGTATTAGCGTAGCTGGCTAGCTTGAAGACACAGTGACCGTAAGATAGTCCTAAAGCCTAGACCGCCCTATACTCTAAACCCTAAACCCTACACCCTAAACCTCTGTAACCCTAAACCCTAAACCTCAGAAACCCTAAACCCCAATCTCCTGAAGCCCTAAACCCTAAACAGAACAGCCCTCAAACAGCGCCAGTGGCCACCGTCCCGAAAACCTGAACCCATAAAGGACCCCTAAGCCCTACTAAACCCTAAACCCTAAACCCTAGACCCTGGACCCTAAACCCTAAACCCTAAGCCCTAAGCCCTAAACCCTGAACCCTAAACCTTGAACCCTAGGCTAGGTTTGGACATCTCAGGTTTGCATCTCTGCCGCGCGCCCAGCTGACACCCGACGCTCGGTTCGGCGGCGCCGCCCTTTCTCCTTTCTTCTTGCTCTGTGGTGAGCGGGGGTTTAGGTTTAGGGTTTAGGGTTTGGGGTTTGGGGTTTAGGATTTAGGGTTTGTTTTTTTTGTTTGTGGGGGGGGGGGGGGGGAGGTGGAGGTTTAGTGCTTAGGGCTTGGGTTTTTGGTTTAGGGTCTTAGGGTCTGAGGTCTAAGAACCCCAGAATTCTAAAATCTTTGTGGTGGCGGGAGGTGGGGGGGGAGCTCGGGATTTGGGTTTAGGGTAAAAGGATCTTAGAATCCTGGATAGGATCCTAGGGTAATGGGGTTTGGAGCCAAAAAGTACTGGAGTTCGTAGTATGCTTAGGATCCCACGTCAGCCCCTTTACCCCACCTCCTTCTGCTCTTGGCCTAGGTTTCCTTGAGAAGCCTAGCAAGCCTAGAAGGCTTCGAATCCCAGGACGACGTCAGCTACAACGCCGTGCTCGACTCTCTGCATGACAAGCGCGCCCTGGCCTGAAAGTTCCCTGAACGTTTAGCTGGTTCCCTAACCCGTAAACCCTAAACCCTAAACCCTACACTCTAAACCCTAAACCCTAAACCCTAAACCCTAAACCCTAAACCCTAAACCCTAAACCCTAAACCCTAAACCCTAAACCCTAAACCCTAAACCCTAACCCAGCTAGTTTAGGGCTTAGGGCTTCGGGGAGGACGGGAGGAGGGAAGGGGTGGAGGCGGGGGAAAGAGAGAAGGGCCACCCAGACCCCGCGCAAGTGAAGGGAAGATTAGGGTTTAGAGTTTAGAGTTTAGGGTTTAGGGTTTAGGGTTTAGGGTTTAGGGTTGAGGGTTTAGGGTTTAGGGTTTATAGGGTTTAGGGTTTAGGGTTTGGGAATTCAGATTTTGACACGCCTGGCAGTACTTAGGCCTTGGGCCGACTCTCTTCGAGGAGGCCGTGGAGGCAGCTGGCGGAATTCACCCGAAATCTTCCTTTGAGTTAAGATTTGTGGACTTTGTTGCACACTTCTCAACCCTAAACACGAGCCCTAAACCCTAAACCTAAACCCTAAACCCGAAACCCTAAACCCTGAGTCTTCAGATTCCCGCCCCTTTGAATCTTCGGGTTCGGGTTTTTGTTTCGGGGGGGGGGGGGGGGGGGGGCGGGGTTTGGGGTTTCCAAGTTTCGGAGTTTCAAGGTTTTTTGGGGTGTTTAGGGTTTAGGGTTTAGGGTTTAGGGTTTAGGGTTTAGGGTTTAGGGTTTAGGGTTTAGGGTTTAGGGTTTAGGGTTTAGGGTAGGGGACTTTGGTTTGGGATTCAGGGCTTCCAGGGTTTTGGAGTTCAGGAGTTCAGGCCCCCTAAACCTTCGTCACCTGGTGCCAGTCCTTAATAGGGATTCAAACAGGGGGGTACTATAATCACTTCTTCGGGCTGTTCGTCTAAGAGGGAACATCCCAAATCACCACCCCTAAAAACCCCACAACGCACCAACGACGACGAAGATCCTGAGAGGCTGCTTCTGGAACCTAAGTTACCATACTACTTGGAGGTTCATGGTACTTAATCACCAAGTGTATCTGTACTTACAATTGTACTGATAACTGATAACCATGTTAGGGGACTTAAGGGGCTTGTAAGTGGGGGATAAGTACAGTTATAATCGGGGTGTATACCCTATACCCTAAAACCCGAAACGCCTTAATCTGAGTTCCTAAGCAGCAGCGCAAAATCCGGGGAGGCGGGAATCTATGGCAACTTGTGCGCTGAAGGGCCAGGTTGCCTGGACCTACACGAACTCTCCCCAGGCTGCGTGGTTTAGAGTCTAGGATTTAGGGTTTAGGATTTAGGGTTTAGGGTTTAGGAATTAGGGTTTAGGAATTAGGGTTTAGGGTTAAATCCCATATTCCCAAACCTTAGCCCCTACAGGAGTACCCTGCACTCCTCCACCCTCAAACCAGAACAGGACTCTGTAAACATCCCAAATCCTGAAGCCCCTGAACCCTCACGGAGCAGGAACTGGTCGGGTTGACGTTGCTGGGGTCGAGAATGGGCGCGGCGAAGACCAGAAATAGTTGCCAAAGTGCCAAGGGCTTAGGGGTTTGGGGTTTGGGGCTTCTTAAACCCTAAACCCTAAACCCTAAACCCTAAACCCTAAACCCTAAACCCTAAACCCTAAAACCTTTTGGTTTGGGGGTTTTGTTTGTGGCGCAGGGTTGACATGAGTGGCTCTAGAGTGGAGATACAAGTTCTGCCCTCAAATGCTCTTGTAAGCCTTCAACTAAGCGACACTGGCCAGACTCAGCCCCAGACCCTGAACCCTAAACCCTAAACCCTAAACCCTAAACCCTAAACCCTAAACCCTAAACCCTAAACCCTAAACCCCAACCCTAAACCCTGTGCCAGGTGCTGCCCAGAGTGCCGTGAGGTGGTGGCTCACAAGGGTGCCTTGGCCTCATGACTAAACCCTAAACCCTAAACCCTAAACCGTAAACCCTAAACCCTAAACCCTAAACCCTGAGAGGTCAGATGGGCTTAGACGAACCGCAGGAGTCCCCCAAGTAGCCCCTTAGTTGAGGATTCTGGGCAGTTCTCTAACATATATATATATATATATGCTCGCTTTTAGAGGGTTTAGGGTTTAGGGCTTAGGGTTTAGGGTTTAGGGTTTAGGGTTTATAGGGTTTAGAGGGTTCTTATTATGATACAGGGCCGTTTTTACGCAAGATGTAACCATGTTTTTCAGAACTCCCCACATGCCTGACTTTATAATGAGGCTCCCTCTGACGTGTATAGAGTGGGATCCTGAAAGCGCGCAGGGCTTCCAGGGCTGGAGCATTCAGCCCTAAACCCAACACCCTCAACCCCAACCCGAAGCCCTAAGCCCTCCAACCCTAAACCCTAAACCGCAAGGTGCTTCCGCCCGTCCTGAGCCAACACAAGCGCCTTCGGTGCGTCATCATCACCGGCTGGGGGAAGTCTCGCCCTGCGTGGTCGACGTCAGACGTCCAGGCTTCCTGCCTTCCTGAGGGACGCTTAGTTTTTTTTGTTGTTTTAGGGTTTTAGGGTTTAGGGTTTAGGGTTTGTTTTTTGGGGGGTGGGGGGGGTGGGGGTTGAGAGTTTAAGGGAAGAGTGCAGGAGGGTTCCGACTCTTTTCCCCGGTTGTTTTGCAGATGCAGATGTGCCTTGCATCCCGAAGGCTGTATTCTTTTGGGACCGGGTGAGAACTCCAAATCCTGAACCCTGAACCCTAAACCCTAAACCCTAGACCCGAAACCCAAAACCCTAATCCTTTGGGCTCCGGCTTCTCTTAGCCCAGTTTTCAGGCCGCCGTCCTGTCCTGGTTGCCTTAAACCCTAAACCCTAAACCCTAAACCCTAAACCCTAAACCCTAAACCCTAAACCCTAAACCCTAAACCCTCAACTCAGTTTCAGGCCTCCGTCCTGTCCTGGTTGGGGAGCCAGGGCCTTCCCGCGAAGAGGCAGCCGGGAAATCTGGGCCGGCTCACTTTGGATCTGCGGGCGCAAGACCTCTCGGCACTGAGAGGGCCGAAAGCTTAGGGTTTAGGGTTTAGGGTTTAGGGTTTAGGGTTTAGGGTTTAGGGTTTGGGGACTTAAGATTTCTGACTGAGGGCCTGGGGAAGCGAAGAAAAGAATCCGACTTTGGTGGAGATGGCCCTCAGCCTCTGCGCCCGAAACCCTTAACCCTGAACCCGCTTTAGGGTTCAGGGTTTAGGGTTTAGGGTTTAGAGTTTGGGGTTTAGGGTTTAGGATTTAGGGTTTAAGGTTTCAGGTTTAGGGTTTAGGGCTTAGGATTTCTGATTTAGGGTTTAGGGTTTAGAACCCTTAGCCCTCGGTAGGCCCTCGGGACATTTTGTTTTTTTTTTTCCCTTATTGGGTTTAAGAGGATCATGTTGAGGAGGAATATTTTTGAGAGGGTTTTAAATGTAAGGGCCATATAAGTAGCCCCTATACCCTAAGCCCCAAAATCCTACGAAACCTGAACGGTTGAGAACCCTAATCCCCCAAAAAGAAGCCCTGTTCTTACCTGAAACCTCAGACCCTACAGGGTTCAGGGCTCAGGGTTTAGGGTAGGGTTACGTTGAAGGTTGGCTTCATCCTAGGTCCTAGGTTGTATACTTGGAGGTTCATGGTTATCGTTGGGTTTGGGGTTGGTGTTCTTTGAAATTCTCCTGACCTGTATTTCGGGTACTGCTCCCCCACCCACCCACCCCCAAACCCCAAACCCCACACCCCAAACCCTAAACCCTAAACCCTAAACCCTAAACCCACCAATAGGAAAACATAATTTCCATGGCTTCGGGCGTATGGCCGTTCAACTTACTGGCTCTTAGTGTGGAATGAGGGACGTCGGCACCCCAATTCCCTCTATAGAACCCTTTAAGGGCTTACGTGGGGGTACCCGATTCCAGAACCCCAAACCCTAAACCCTAAACCCTAAACCCTAAACCCTAAACCCTAAACCCTAAACCCTAAACCCTAAACCCTAAACCTGCCATAACCAAGAGCCGAACTAATCCCTGAAACCCTTAAGCTCTGGTGAGCTTCGCCTCGAAGTGATAAAGCCCTCCAAGGCCCTGAAGCCATGAAGGAAGCCGCTTAGGGTTTAGGGTTTAGGGTTTAGGGTTTAGGGTTTAGGGTTTAGGGTTTAGGGTTTAGGGTTTAGGGTTTAGGGTTTAGGGTTTAGGGTTTAGGGTTTAGGGGGGGATCCCCTGTCTGGGGGTTGAGGGTTGAGGGTTTAGGGTTTAGGGTTGTCCTCAACCTCGATCTCTGCCGACATCCGGCCCAGACCTGGTCCTGTGCCGGTCAGTCACTTTAAGGGCTTAGGGTTCAGGGCTTGTAGGGTTTACAGGGCCTGCAGGGTTGATAGGGTTTAGGACTAAACCCTAAAACCCTAAACCCTATAACCCCTAAGCCCCTTGTAGGGTTAAAAGAAGGACCCGAGGATGTGTTAACACTCCTAAGGCCTATCCCATCGTACCCGCGCTCCAACCATTCCAAGTTGAGCCTAAAGCCCTATAAGGCCCTATAACGCCCCATAAAACCTAGCAAAGTCTCAGCCCTCTAAACCCTCTAAACCTGCCGCCATGCTGTGTCTTCGGACAAGCACGTGTTTGCGGGCCTTCCATGCTGCCCGAGCAGGATTCACAGGGTTGAGGGCTTAGGGCTTAGGGTTTAGGGTTTTGGGTTTTGGGTTTTGGGTTTTGGGTTTTGGGTTTAGGGAACTTGAACACAGTGTGGACTGCTTTGGGTGCTCTCATCGGGTATATCCTTCGTCGGGTGTATACATCATGGAAGCAAAGCCTCACGTGGCGCGAGTGGGTTTTCGGGGCCCTTCTGGGGCAGGGGTGCGGTTCTGGGTGAAGCTTGAACCCTAAACCCCAAGCCCTGGACCCCAACCCCTGATGTTTAGGATTCCATTCCTGGCCACCTCTGTGCCCTCGGCGAGCTGCGGGGCAAGCTGTGGCGCTAAACCCTAAACCGTAAACCCTGCATCAGGTAGGCCCTACAGATTCAGCCCAGTCAGCATCTGGACCCAGGGCCCAAAGGCATGCGAATCAGTCCCATAAGCAAACGAACTGGTATGTGCTCAACATTGAGCCACTTAGGGTAGCAACATGGTCCCTGAGTATGGGCTACTCGTACTATATAAACCCCTTATTATATACTCCTTATAGACCCAAGGGCCCATACTTCAGGCCCTTTAGAGAAGATAAGGGACCAGAATAGAGGACCGGAATAAGGTCAGGGCCGGCGGACCATGTAACTAACCCTAAACCCTAAACCCTAAACCCTAAACCCTAAACCCTAAACTGTTTACCCCCCCCCCCCCCCCCCCCCCCGCTTGCAAGACATGTCTCTTGTTGCACGATTCATGGCGAAAGGCAACCTGGGTATGCATTTTGTAACCTATAATACTTAAAAACCCCAGGTAGTCTGGCGGCATCCGAATTTTAGGATTTAGGGTTTAGACGGCCTGTGAGGACGCAACATCACGAAGCCGCCTCCAAGCCAGTTTGCGGCAACTCTGCTGACCGCCATAGCCCGCAAAATCCCGAAGCCGTCAGCTGTAGGGAATGAAGGATTAATATAGGGGTCGGAATAATTACTAATCGCTAGGTGGGACTCTGCTACAACTTTATCACTTAATCAGTTTAGGGGTTCCTCTAATTTCATATTAAGGGAGCTAAAGGTTAAACCTCTATTGGGGGGGTTTAAAGAGCAACCAAGATCGTATTCCCTTAGGGCCCCTTTAGATTTATACTATAATAGCCCCCCAAAACCCCTATCTTATTTTTTATGCCACTGTATTAGGCACCCTAACACCCCTCCTGAGGACCTCTGCCCAGTCTTCATTATTCTTGCTGTTAGCTCAAGAGCCACAAGAGGTGCTAAGCCCCTCAACCCTACAGTGAAGGAGAACTTCTGAGGCCCAGTTGAAGGCAATGTTGTGGTTTCAAGGTTGTTGGCAGTTCAGGCTCCTTATCCAGGACCCGGAGTAGGCCCTTACTTCCTTTTTTCAGGGGTCGGGGTTCCCTTATAATCCCCTTTAAACCAAAAGGACACACACCTTTTTTTGGGTCACTTATTTGTTGCATTCCTCCTTGGCGTTTCGGCCGCCCTCAAGAGTAGGCGTTGGAGCTACGGTAGCCTCGTGCCGACTATCGGCGCGCCACATGGACATTCTTCAATGCCTCACAGCGTCCCGCCTTTGCCTTCTAGATTTCGTCTCAAAAGTTCGCTCACGTTGAGCATGACGCGTGCCGTTTGGTTGAAGGCCTATACCTGGTTAGACCCTAAACCCGACTGGTCCTAAAGCGACAAGCCCTTGGATCCTGAAGCCACAAGCCCGTTTAAACTTTGAAGCCAACAAGCCCTTGAAACCCTCAAAACACTCGGTCCTTGAACCAAGAACCCTAAACGCTAAACCTAGGTTTAGGGTTCAGGGTTTAAGAGTGTGACCCAAAGTCAAGGATTCGGGAGACCTCCGCGTTGTTCCCTTCTCTTTTGAAACACCCTATATCCCCAAGGACTCAACTCCCCCCCCAAAAAAGAATCACAAGAATAAAACAAAAGGAAACATGCTCCATCCGGCTCATGATACCTAAAGGAGTGATGTTGAGTTTTCTCCCTGGCTAGGTCATTCTGTCGGGAAATCTCAGGCCTTCGCAAACCCTAAACCCTAAACCCGAAACCCTAATCCCTAAACCGTAAACCCTAAACCCTAAACCTTAAACCCTATAAACCCTAAACCCTAAACCCTAAACCCTATAAACCCTAAACCCTATAAACCCTATAAACCCTATAAACCCTATAAACCCTAAACCCTAAACCCTAAACCCTAAACCCTAAACCCTAAACCCTAAACCCTAAACCCTAAACCCTAAACCCTAAACCCTAAACCCTAAACCCTAACCCAAGCACGCGAGTACGATGCTGATGAGGGTTAGGTTTCACCTCTGGAAGGTGGACAGCCTCGCACGTCAGTGCGATTCCACTTAACACAAAATCCCTAAACCCTAAACCCTAAACCCTAAACCCCCTTAGACAAAGTACGCCCAAGGAGAGCTTGCAGCGGCTAGCCCGGCCAGTGCCACGCAGCAGACTGGAGACTGACAGGGATCAGGGTGGTGGGGTTTAGGGTTTAGGCTTTAGGGTTTAGGGTTTCGGGTTTAGGATTTTGGGTTTTGGGTTTCGGGGCTTTGGCTTAGGGTTGAGGATGATTTGGGCCTGATTTCGGGGGCTTGTTCTTGCTGGCCTGTAGGTGCATTTGCTTAGGGATAGGTTGAGAGCTTGCAGAAACTCCTAGGGCTAAGGGCTAGGGCTGAATAGGGCGTCTGGGGCTTACTCGGGTTTAGGGTTTAGGGTTTAGGGTTTAGGGTTTCGGCTTTAGGGTCTGTTCATGGCAATTTTGGGGGTTGCTTCAAGTGTCTCATGTGCACGCCTGGTAGGATATTTCGAGCTCCGAGCCTCCGGGCCATGGCTTTTCGGGTCGTGTCTTGGGTTTAGGCTTAATAACCCTAAACCCCAAACCCTAAACCCTAAACCCTAAACCCTACAGAGCTTGGCCCGTAGGATCCCCATCCCACAAGGTTTGGAGGTGCAGACGATAATCTTCTACTGCAGCCTCCCTGGCTTTAGGATTTAGGGTTATAGGGTTTAGGGCAACCAGGCCCCTAGATAGCCTTACGTACCCGAAACCCTAACTTAGGCCGGCCCTTGGGGGAATATGTTGCAATCTCCTTACCCCCACCAAAACCCCCAAATCTCTGAGCCCCCTAAACCCTAAACCCTAAACCCCCAGCCCCGTTATAGAGGATCTTTCCGGAAATTCTTTGGTGCAGGAGGGATCCGGCCTAGTGATGAACGCAAGCCCCATTTATCTTAGGGCTTAGGGATTAAGGTTTAGGCAGAGTTGAGGGCTTCGTGTTTTTAAGGATTCTAGGGTTTCATTGTTTAGGGTTTAGGCTTAAACCCTCAATCCCTCAACTCTAAACTCCCTAACCCCTCACTTCTAAATCCCCCTAGGCACACCCAAAACTCCATAAACCCTAAACCCTAAACCCCAAACCCTAAACCCTAAACGCTGCGGAGGAGCAACTGATAGCTCCCAAGCTAGAGGAGTGGAGGCGAGCACCAAAGGCGCTGGGCAAAACCCTTCGAGACTGAGCAGACGAATCATCAGAAATTGGGGCTAAGGTTCAGGGTTTCAGGGTTTAGGGTTTAGGGATTTGAGATCATCTCAAGGCTAGGGTTCTAGGTCAAGGGCGTACGTGACGGTGTATATGATCAGTCCTCTGTTTTGTGTTCCTCTCTTTGGGGGCCCTGAACTTGGGATGTTCTCCCTCATACTAACAGTCCTTAATAGGGATTATCGTACCCCCCTACTGTAATCCCGATTAAGGACTGGTAGTATCAGGGGGCTCACCCCAAACCCTAAACCCTAAATCCTAGACCCTCAACACTGACCCCTAAGCTTTAAACCGCAAACCCAAAAATCGCAGATAAACCTTAAATAGGGTTTAGGGATCGGGGAGCGTCCTCGGATGCCAGGGACCTGAAGAAGGAGTGACCAGAGTTTTGAGAATGTGGACGTAAAGTTTAGGGTTAGGGTTTAGGGTTTAGGGAATAGGGTTTAGGGTTTAGGGTTTAGGGTTTAGGGTTTAGGGCTTAGGGTTTAGGGTTTAGGGCAAAGGTAATTAAGTTAATCAATTCAGTTAGTGTAGCTTCATAAGTCTAGTTGAATTAGTTGAAGTACGTTAATTTGGCCCTTGCAAATCTGGTGGAATCTGAATCTGGAATCGGGAAATCTGGAGATCTAGAAAATCGATGCTGAATGTACGACAACTTCAACATACGTACTTATATTTACATATATGCATATATAAAATGATTGCTCCCCCCCCTCCGGACCTATGTTTGGACTTTTCCATGTTGACGGTAGGACGGAGAAGATTTTCGGTGTGATTGCACTTGGCAGGGTACAGCTCGCTTGCGGTGTGCAGGCGCTGCAGAAGCAGAGGTTATTCTCAAACACCCACCGCACGATCTCCATGCAACTGCCGAGAAGCATACTATGCGGCACGCTGACGTGGCGACAGCAAGAGCCCGACGCAGCAGAGAGAAGTCAGCAGCCCATGTTGCGCTTGAAATGGAAAAACTGAAGAGCCGGTCCGATCCTGGCGGGACAAAGATCAATCACTTGGCTTTTCAATGCAAGGCGTTTTCGGACAAGCAGCGACAGCACGATCCCGAGGCCAAGAAGATTGCACTCGAGCTGACACGTCCTGCTTGCAGGAACGGATACGTGGCTGATGATGCATCGATATTCATTTGCGATCTTGCAAGGATTTCTGATCCCGCGCCTATAGCGAAATCACATTGGCAAAAATCCTGCGGTGATGAAGAAGATAGCTTCCACTTCGGCCGTTACCAACGTGCTTGCAGGTTTGCGCCAATGGGTGTCACGATCTGATCGTCCGAGCAAGCTGCATGTTCTGTATATCTGTACCGCCGCAAGGCATCGCCCAGTAGCTGTGGGACAACTAACTGCTGCGATTCTTGATGAGTGGTGTTACTTTCAGGTTGTACATTCTGGGCGAGAGTCTAGTTGGCCGAACATGCGTTCATGCCAAGGGCGACTGGTTCCATGTCGTCGGCAACCGCCTCGGACACCGACTCTCCACCGCGGGAAGTCCGTTACAGACGCTGGCCAAAGCATTCCAGCAAGCAATGCTCCTGGGCGGCGTGTAAGTGTGGTGCCTCAAGCAGGGTCTCAGAGAGGGCCATAGAAGGTACTCTACATGATTCAGCCTGAACGAGATGCGAGTTGCCAATATCTTGAAAGTGGAAAACGCTCTCTTCCAAGAGCTTATATGACCATGACTAGACAGGCAGGCTTTCCGCCCCCGGTTTGGCAGTTGCCATCACTGAGCGAGTTGAGCCCGTCGTTCCTTACGCTTCTGAGCTCCTGCCCTTAGTGCGTGATACTTACCCGCAGTTGAACAAGTTACCATCTGGTTGGGCAGCAACGCAGGCTCCGCGTTGCGAGTTTCCGATCTATCAGACAGCTACACGCGCTTCTATAGGTTCTAGATAAGACGCGCGCCCAAACTTTACTTCGCAGAAGAGCTGCTTTAACGCAGACGGGTTGTTTTTATAAGATGAACAATCGCGAAGATCAAAGCCACGATAGGGTAAAACTTGACTGACTCAGGATGTTCCACATTGTGGATGTGAGATTCCGGGCGCGGAATTTTGAGAAGTTGTTCTTTGAAGACGTTTCATCTCCATTTGGTGGTTTGCGTGTGCGAGAAGCGGAGTGGTGGCACGCGCTCTGTCCCAGAAGCAAAACATGACAAGGTGTCTGGCCGCCCAAGCCACGATAGCCCTGCATTTCGCGATCGCAGGTGTCCGCAACTAAAGCGACGAGTGCCTCCCGTGCAGAACCCAAACCGACGATAAGGATTTTGTTTCCGTGCTTTCCTTCGTTTTGGATGAGAGGTTCCGGGCGCGGACATTTGAAATTCACCGCGAAGAGGTCTGATCATCTCTGGCGTTTCGCGTATTGGCTGTAGGATAATTTCAGCCACAGTTAACGAAAGCGTGTGATTAGCATTAAGCCCTATAAGCCGTAAAGAGTTCTAAACAGGGACATAAGGTACCTATATTTCCTTACTAAAACTAAGAACCGGCAAGAACAGGAGAGCTGAAAGATCTTCAACGTCCAGACCTGGTCTGCGAGGTCTTCAAGGCGCGATTCGCGTTTAGGGTCTTTATAGGACGTTTGGGGTTTCGGGCTCACTGTGGTTCAGAGCTTTTGGCGAACTTGGGTTGAAGGCATTACCTAGGCATGTGGGCTTTCAGGGCTTTAGGGCTTCTAGGGTTTCTTCAACAAGGCCTAAACCGCTTGAAGAATGAGTTTCGGCTACGATGTGGTGTTTTCTTTCCTTCCGTGCAACAGCTTCTGGCACAACAACGTGTTCCCGCAGTTCAACTTTATATATGAGTTTCGTTGAGCTCCGGGTTTTGGCCTTTCCTAAAGTAGGCATCGGGCAGAAACAAAGTAGCAGCGCTCATTCCCCAACAAGCAGCAAGCCCTCCAAAAGCCATTTGACGGGTTGATGAGGTTTATGGGGTTCATAGGTTTCATAGGGCTGGTTATCATTACTGCGGTGTCCGTTTTATATATACATATATATATATATATGCATACATATATAGGTATATACATATACGTATAAAGTAAGAACCATCCTGTCCGGTGTCCTCTTTTTGAAGCTTCCCAGAGCCCATCAAACAGGCCCTCATGTGGAATCGCACCCGCAAGCCGGACGTTACCAACCGGCCCTTCAGCCTCGAGCCCTGAACCCCCGAAGATGCGACCCAAAGCCCTGGGTTTAGGGTTTAGGGTATAGGGTTTAGGGTACCCTGACCCGAACCCTGAACCCTGAACCCTGAAGCCACCCTAAGCCATCTTCTGATGGAGGTGCTTGCGGAAGATGGGCGGATGAAGTTGATCCTCTGGAGAATATGGGGGAGTGTGCTGAGGGCGGGTCTGAAAAGCGAGCGACCCAAACCCTGCAAACCTTAAACAACACCCTAAAGGCCTTGAGCAACCCCAAGCCCAACACCTTAAAGACTTTGAACAACCCGAAACCCTAATCCCGAAAGACCTTAAACAATCTTACGCCCATACCCCTAAAGACCTTGAGCTTCCCTAATTCTAAAGAACTTAAACAGCGCCAAAGCCCTAAACCCTCGCCACCTTAAGCCACCAGAAAGCCCCAACACTCTACTACCTCCGAAGAGTTCGTTGGCTTCGGGTTCCGGACCCTCCAAACCCAAAACCCAAAGCCCTAAACCCTACTACAGACCAGGGTTGCTTCTTAGGACGCCCAGTAGTGCCCTATTCCCTTGTTTTGTTTTTTTTTTTTTTTGCGGGGGGGGGTTGGGGGGGTTAGGATCGCTTGCATAGACCTTCCTAAACCAAAGTGGGTCCCCTTTGTTTTCCTATGTTACAGGCGATGTCGGTCTTTGCTGTTGTTTAGGGTTTATGTTTTTTGTTTCCCTCCCTCGGTACGGGGTTAGATGTTCAACTAAGCTCTCCTGCTCGTCCGGTGTACTCCTCGCCCATCACCCGTGTTCCACCTGAGTATCCCAAAGACTCCCAGGACACAACGATATCCGCAGAGAACCCCCTGAGCCGCCAAACAGTGCCCAACCCCCAAGTTATGCCCAGAGAACCACTGGAGTGCCCAACCCTAAACCCTATAGACCCTAAACCCCAGAGCGAGCCCACAAACTACTTAACCTGCAGGTGGGATGTTCGAACTAAAATATCTGAAGGTGCTGCGCGTTTTGTTGTGTCTCAGCGATGTTTAGTGTGTGTGTAGGGCTTAGGGTGTGTAGGGCTTAGAGTATATCTTGGGTGAATGCCTTAAAGGCTCTTGGCAGGCGGGGGTTTCAACACTGAGCCACGCCAGCCAGGAATGTCCTGGATTTCAACATGGGGATCACTGCTTGCGGACCCTTGGGTTTAGGGTTTAGGGTTTAGGGTTTAGGGTTTAGGGTTTAGGGTTTAGGGTTTAGGGTTTAGGGTTTAGGAGTTAGGGGGTGCCAAGGGCACTTTGGGGGTCCAGGTACCCTCATCTAAGGCAGTTACGTGGGCCCTTCTGTGGTTCCTTTCCTTCCTTAAAAGGTTCTGAAGTATGGGCCCTTAGATTTTACAGGGTATTTGAGGGAATTATAAAGGGTACCCATTTAAGGGCCCATACTACGGGACCGTGTAACTTAGACGTCAACCCCGAACACTGCCAAGGGAAAGTGAAGCAGTGGGAAAGGGCAATCCAGATACTCAGCTCGATGCCCACGGCCATGGTCACTCGCACCGTGGTCAGCCACCCCGCGGCAATCAACGAAGTGATGGTACGGTCATCGCCTTATAAAAATACCCTCTCCCCCCAAAGAACACTACATCTTTGCTACTCCCATACCGTAGTGATACAGCAGAACGAATGAAGCTTGTCTTGAGTCTGAACACACCCTAAACCGTACACCCTTTGTGATGGCATCTACCCGGAGACCCAAACTTCGACCCCCCCCCCCCCCCCCCCCCCCCCAACCACCTAAGCCCTAAGGCCCTAAACCCTAAACCCTAAACCCTAAACCCTAACTCCTAAACCCTAAACCCTAAACCCTAAACCCTAAACCCTAAACCCTAACCCCCCCAGAAGCGGTCGAAGCATGAAAGGCTTCAGGATGGTTCGCTAGTGCCTCGTTTAGGGGGTTTAGGGTTTAGGGCTTTTAGGGTTTAGGGTTTAGGGTTTATAGGGTTTAGTGTTTATAGGGTTTAGGGTTTGCTTTCAGGGTTTAGGGTTTCCAGGGTTTGGGGTTTAGAGTTTAGGGTTTAGGGTTTAGCATCCGGCGCATATGCGGGGGGAGGGGGAGGGAACGGTTAAGTTTGGGTCGCCAAGGTAAATAGATGCCATCGCACCACGAAGGATTCAGGGTTTAGGGTTTAAAGTTTAGGGCTTAGGGTCACCACTTGCAGTCAGCCCTGTCTTGTAGTGTGAGCTGAGGCTACAATTCCGCCATCAGCGCCTGTGAGAAAGGCAGGCAATGGCAGCTGGCGCTGCATCTTTTTTATTGCGTGCCGCGGGCCATGTTGGCCCCGGATGTTATCAGCTACAGTTCTGCGATCAGCTCCTGTGCCCAGGGTGAGCAGTGGCAACTGGCTGTTCACTTGTTGAACGCCTTCGCAAGTGCCAAGCTGCCACCAGATGCCATTAGCTTCAACGCCGCCATCACGTCTTGTGAGAAGGGCGGTCAATGGCAGCTGGCCCTCCATCTGCTGGGCTCGATGCCTCACGCGAGCGTCAAGCCTGACACTGTCAGCTACAGCGCAACGAGTCTTGGCTTTCTTCTGGCTGGCTCTTAGGACTCTCACTTTTTGGTTTTTGTACCTAGAAACTACAATAAGGAGCTGAAACTACAAGAAGGAGCCTAACAGGTACACTTTTAGGAGGGGTTCAGAAGTCAGCCAAGGATTAGCTCCATGGAGAAGGGTGCCCAGTGGGAGCTGGCCTTGCTCCTCTTCTCCTCAATGCCTAGAGCACAGGTCCGCATGGACGTCATGGGTTTAGAGTTTAGGGTTTAGGGTTTAGGGTTTAGGGTTTAGGGTTTAGGGTTTAGCGCAGGTCCGCATGGACGTCATCAGCTACAATGCCACGGTCAGCTCCTGCGACACATGGGTTCTGTTCAGCAACTTCTCCTGGTTCTCAGCTAGATACGGGAAGAACAGGGGCTATTTATTTACAATGCCCCCGAATGTGGACCCCCACCCACCCACACAAACGAACAACAATTTAGGGAACACCGAAGAGGGTTCAGGTAAATTTTGGACTCAGGGTTTACCTGAAGACTCCAATGGAGTTCTTTTTGTAGGTTAGGTATACTACCTTTCAGAATGGTACTACATAGGAGCCTTAGGGAGGGCTCAGGGTTCGCAGGAAAAGGGTTTAGGGTTTAGGGTTTAGGGTTTAGGGTTTAGGGTTTAGGGTTTAGGGTTTAGGCTTTAGGGTTTAGGGTTTAGGGTTTAGGGTTTAGGGTTTAGGGTTTAGGGTTCGAAGGAAAAGGGTGCAGAGTGGCAGACGGCACTGCGGCTATTCGACGCCATGCCTTCGGCGAAGCTCACGCCCGACACTTTGCTTTGCCGTTTCGAAACCCCAAAGTCTGAAGCCTTTATAAACCGTAAGTATGGATTTAGGGTTTAGGGTCCCTAAACCCTTAACCTTAAACCCTTAACCCTAGACCCTAGACCCTAGACCCTAGACCCTAGACCCTAAACCCTAAACCCTAAACCCTAAACCCTAAACCCTGAGCAGCATGCTCCCTTGTTGTTTTTGAGGGCGCCTGGAATAGGGTTTAGAGATTAGAGTTTAGCGGTTTGGGGGGAAGTCTGAAGCGCATTGATTAGGATGTTATCAGTTGCAATGCGGCCATCAGCTCGCTTTCGAAGACCTCGCAGTGGCCG